CTAGAAATTGGCCTCAATGATTTGGGATCGAGGGGGATTATCCCTCTTTATCCTGCCTCATCTCGTGTAGGCCTGGACAGCCTTCGTAGGTGGGCCCCATCCGTCGTCTACCCCGACCGCAAATGCGGCCGGTGTAGGCGCTTTGTGGGACCTCCTTTTGTCCTGGCTGGGCCCCGCCGGCTAGGGCCCTTTCTTCTGGCGCTCTTCTTGCTTCGCCGGCTCGTCTGTGTAAACCCCGGGGGTAGTGTCATGTTTATGTGTGGTATGGTTGGGTAGGGTAGTGCGGCTATGCAGCCTGGGATGCGCTTTGCTAAGGTAGCCCTTAGTCTAGCGCGGGTGGGGAGGGTTAAGGAGGGTATGGGGATTCATTTAACCGGTTATTTTTGCCCATCCCTACTACCATGGAGACTAGATATAGTATAGTATAGTCTCCATGCCTACTACAGTCTCCCTGCCGTTGACAGTCAGTATTGACAGTCATTTGACAGTTCAAAAATTATTCTGGTAAAAAAAAAACAGAAAACAAATGGATGATTATCGTTAAACTAATTTTATTAATTTATAAATTTGTTTAAGAAACTTCAGGATCGCATTTCTTCAGCGGTGCTAACAAAAGGAGTAAAAGTAAGTACATACCTAACTGTTTTGTATCAAGTATTTCTTGTGACCCCTTATTAAAAAATTTATATGACCAGTCTTATATTGACGAACGAAATAGTAATTATACAAACTTTGTATTGCGATAATAAATTAAGACATCATTTAATAATAATGAATGATATGAAAAATATTTTCACAAAAATCGCTAATAAATGTTTACCTTATTATAAAGGTATTAAGCTAATTCAAATAAATTTTAAATAAATGTTTGCTAAGAAACCCTATTAAATGAAGTCAAACAATGATCATCAATATTAAAAATTTACGTATGCAAAGGATAACCTCACAGAATTCTGTATATATTATGGGAATTAACTACTCTGTGGGCTATTCTTTTTATCTTTATCCTTATTGTTCTAACATCCCTCTTGATACACACCAACATGTAAAAATAGCTACCTACTATGTAAAGATATTAATTCCACATTCTACTAGAATTGTTGCAGGTAGCCTCCTTACAAATAGTATTAATGAATATTAATAGAACAAAATTATATATATAAAAAACAAAACTTAAAAAAAATGTTTTGAAATGAAAACAAAATATTTTTGTATTTATTTGAAGTAGCGTAATACCTTTATAACGAAGTAAAAATACAACAGCTAATAAAATAATAGATTAATAAATATTAAATAAAATGTTTGGGAGTAATTTGGTTTATATTTATGTTTGTTCTCAAAGTGGTGTTTAGTGAACCTGTAATTCCCACATAATGAGTTTATAATATTATTCTTTTAACTTTCATTACTATTGAATTTCTNAGGAGGTCCCACAAAGCGCCTACACCGGCCGCATTTGCGGTCGGGGTAGACGACGGATGGGGCCCACCTACGAAGGCTGTCCAGGCCTACACGAGATGAGGTAGGATAAAGAGGGATAATCCCCCTCGATCCCAAATCATTGAGGCCAATTTCTAGCCATGGAATAATGGCGGCATGCAGTAGCGATTTGCGATTTGCTGATTTCAATTTGATTGGTTGAAATAAAATATTTTTTACATCCATTTCTTCATTTCAATATATTACGAGAATCTCAAAATTTAAATATAGGGGGCGGGAAAATAGAAACGGTTTCTATTTTTGGCGATTATCGCAATAATTTTGACAAACTGTGCATGTGCAGTTTCGTTCGCAAGTAATTAAAATACTTGTTAGTATCATGTAATCTTATTTCCATTAGCAAATTATGATAAGCACCCTGTTTTTTGCAAGTACTTTTCAACTTTTTTCTACTTACTTTTCACTTTTCTGGCTATTTTCTGTTTTCATAATAAATATACAAAAAACAGTTGGTGATCTGCACAGTGAACATTTATCTAAAGTACATTTTTTCTTACATTTTTTGCTTTTTTACATTTATAAAATGAAGTGAAAATAAGTTGAAAAGTAGATACTTTCAAAAAATAAGCCTCTGGTCTTTCTTTTTTTAAAATAATGCTCTCACGGCACAAGATCTTTTCTAACTGCTTTTTGTTTTCCTTATAAAATTGCAAGCGATTAACAATCTTCTACGCTATTGACAATAAATAACATAATGATAATCTAATCACTGTTATTTACCACATTTATCGTTACAGAATGTTTATTTATGAACGTCTTGGTATTGTTTAATGTCCTGCGTATGTAATCATTAATCACAAAAATATTTTGCGAGCTTAGGTTATATTGTAATTTTGTTTACTGTGGCCTGTGGCATGACATGGCAAGGCAAGTAACACAAGAAATTTAAAAGTAACTAGTTTTCGCGTATGTGCATGAACATTGTCTAAATAAATTAGTTACTCATATGTGCATGAACGAATGTTAAATTTTTGTCGCATAAATCGTAAAATCGTTAATCACAACTCGCTGCTGCATGAACTTACCTTAACGGCAATAATTTAATTCAATATCTTTCTGTCTTATCTTATTTCTATATTATTATTTTGAGTCCGCGAATCTGTGGTCTTCTGTTGTACACGTCATTCTGGGACACCCTGTATATGTATTTCAATTTTATTTTAATGCCTTACCAACAATATTTCATTCAATATCTTCTTTCTGTCTTAGGTGGAGCAATTTCTTAGACCTTTCTTCGTTTACTTTATCTTTCAGAATTAAAATCAAATTAGTCTAGTGGATTATAAATCCCACCTAAAATTTATTTAAAAAAATGTCTTGTCTAAAACATGAAGTTATTAGAAAACAACTTTTATAGTACAGCATTTTTAATATAATAGTATATAAGTATTTAAAGATCTGTTTAGTAAATTTAATAGTGAAGAAACATATATTTACTGTTCCATAGAAGTCACTATAGGTATTCATTGTGGAAGGTCGGTAAACAAACCAAAACATTGTGCAAACTATCATATGTATATATCAATCTAATCAGAAAAATGGGACAATTCCAATAAGCTGGAAATATACAGGGTACTCCATTAAAAAAACAGTTTGGTTTATATCTACGAAACAATCAATTGGTTTTTTATGAATTTGATGTGACAATTTTTATCATTACTATTTTTGCCTTGATAAAAAGGTACGTGATAGAATTTTATATGAATTTCTCCGAACATACAATCCATATTCAATGATTCTTTACATGCAACTAAATTTTATATGGAAAACATCTTTTAATATCTTTATAAATACTGATAAAGCTATAAAATAATTGATTTAGTAATATACTCAAAAAATATTTCATTTTTTACAATTGTAGGCCAATCGGGTGTATTATCTCATCACAATGTAAGTATTCTATAGTTTCAGTGTTAACAAAACTTTCTTCTCATTAATATGAACTATATTTTGTAAAAACAAAAAAAACTATAAATATAATTAAAACTTATTTCAAATATATGTATATACAAAGGTATAGTTGAAATTAATTCCCTTTATTCTTTATATTGGAAATGTCTTCAGCAAGTGATTTATTTCTATCCAATTTTTTTTTCGTTCCTTTAACACTTTCCACAATATGACTTTTCTTTTCCTTCAAACCCTTTTTTGTTTCTTCTAAGGTTTCTATTAAATTATCTTTCTTCTCAATAATTCCTTCTTTTGCTTCACGAACAGATTCTATTAGATTTTCTTTTTTCTCCTTGATTCCTTCTTTTGTCTCTTTCATACTTTTGGCTAAATTCTCCTTTTTTTCCTCATATATTTTCTTCATTCTCTCTTTACTAGGTACTGGTTTGATATAGCCCCATTTTTTCAAATAATTAATTGAAATTGTCGTACCCCCTAATGTAACTGTGTATCTAGCTGGTGTTGCAATTTTGTATAATGCATAAGATACTGCAAAATATCCCATACTCGAATCTCTCAAAGGGTTTACAAATCGTTCGCTAACATGCCAAGACTCTAAAAGTGCAATGATATCAATACCACTGGAACAATAAAATAATTATACAATGAATTTAAATAAATTAATTTAATTTACCTTTTTGCCATAAAATAAAAACTTCCAAACCACATAGTAGATGTAACAATATGTACTGGTACAAGAACATACCAATAATCTCTATACATGATTTTAAATTTCTGAAATAAAGATAATTTTTCTTCTTTATTTTCATCGAGTCCTTTACCAACACTTTTTTTTTCTGTATTTTTTGAATCAGATGAATATTTGTTACTACTTTTTGGAACCTTCCACAATAAAGTAACTTGACTGTTACATTTTCTTTCTTTATCAAACTTATTCAAAATGATGCTGGTAAAAGGATGAGCAGATAAATTAGCGCAATGCTTTATTCTGACTATATTTTTAATAAAAAATGTCCTAGCCACAATATTTGCCATTTTACATAACCTATTTATATCTTCACAATGCTTCAACACTAATCTTGAAAATAAATATTAAAATATTTATGCTTACTGCTTGAAAACAAATGTCCTATTTATATATTAGGTATTTACATATTGGGAAAAAAAATTAGACATGAATGCGGCAAATTGCTGCGAGTTTACATTTACACACGCATGCACTCATGCAAGTAAAAACTGGAACTGTTTTGATTTTGAACAATCTATTTTTATAAATAGGGTACTTTTGAATAATAAGTTAATAAATATGCAACTTCATAAAAGAATATTCGTCCACAAGATAGTAAAACTTAATCAGCAGTGATATGCAAATTAACATATTCACATATTTAATTTGTGGAATAACAATAAATTTATAAATTAACACAACACATGACATTGACAATTGACAATATTGACAACTAGGGATGGGCAAAAAACATCGATACTTTTTAAACATCGATGTTATGGAGGTAGTTATCGTTGCAAAACAATCGATTTCTTTTGAAATCGATATATCGAAGGATATCGATATTGTCTCCAGAAATATCGTTTAATATTCAAAACCAATTTTTGGATAAATATTTACAGTTTTAATCCAATATAGTTGTCTCAATACAACAATACAAAACAAATAATAGTCTACGGATATGTGTATTTTTTTTAGTTTGTGGTTTATAGCACAGAACACGGCGGTTTCTGAAACAAAAAAGGTTAGCGGGAAGGAGGGGGGGGGGGGTTC